CTATACCATTGGGTACAGATATCTTATCTTCAATCACATTGTAATTTTCCTGTTTATTTCTTTTAACTGAGTCTGTTTTTTCTTTTGACCTGTCCAAGATCATAATTACTATTCCAACTTTTTTTTAAAGTTACAACTGAAGCATAATAGTTTTCCTAATATCTATTATTTTATATCTGTATTAAATGTGCTGCATAAACTCCTTGTTTATTTTTCAAGTGTGTTTCTTACTAAAAACATATGGTTTGATTCTGCTTTGTAGTATATTCTGCTATCCTTTCCACTTTTATGATTGAGTTTCTCCGATTCATGTTCATGGTTAGGATTGTTAACTGTGTATTTCTTCTACCCTATTCTCTTTTTCCTCTTTTTGGTCACCACACCCTCTTTATAAAGTAAAGGGTGATGAATGAGAGGGAGTGTGCATAGAACTAGTGACTTATCCTTGATGCAATCTACTACTCCATTGTCCTTCCTTACCTTTCATCTCCCCCTTTCCCCCCCTCCCCCAGCCACATACCGATCACAGGTTCTTACCCTTTATTTTTTCAAATTGATTTATTAAAATTATTTGCCGCTGTTCACATGACTAGTAAACATAGGAGGTAGGATTTGAATTCTGATCTCTTAATCTTTCCATTACATACTAGTGCCTCCCAACAAACAACTATCATGAACTTACTATATTCAAGGTTATTTTGACTTACCTTTTCTTAACATCCTTTAAGTTTCACCTTTCCTCCAACCCTGCCCTACATGATCCATCACCTAAATTTGGAGTTTGTTTTGCTTATAACTTATCTTTTCCTAAAGATGTGTTGTTGTTGTTGTTGCTGTTGAGTTGTGACTGGCTCTTTGTGACCACATTTGGATTTTTTTTGTTTGTTTGTTTTTGGCAAAGACACTGGAGTATTTTGCCATTTCATTCTCTAGCTCATTTTAGAAATGAGGAAACTGAAGCAAACAAGGTTAAATGAGTTTCCCAGGGTCACACAATTAATAAATGTCTGAGGCCAGATTTGAACTCAGGAATAGTCTTCCTGACTCCAGGCCTAGTGTTCTATCCACTGTGCCACCTAGCTGCCCCTTCCCTGAATATATCCCTCCCTTTTATTCTTTCCTCTCCTAGTTCCTTCCTATTTCCATGCTGAATTGAATGTATTTCTGTATTGAACTCTTAATATATGTGTTCTACTCTCCTTTAACTAGTTCAGATGAAAGTAAGTTTCAAGTGATATCCACTTTTCCCACTCTATACTCCTTGTTTTTATGGTATTCTGTTTGCAAATATAGATTATATGAGATAGTAACTTTCTTTTCTCTTTCTTCTCTATCATAATACTCTTTTGTTCCCCTTTTTTTCTGTTAAGATTATCAAAGCATAACAAAACTACTCGAAGGCCCTTTGTCTTATTTAAACTGTTCTATGACCCTTGATTTTGAGGGGAAACTTGGTTCTTCTCCCCTGATTAGAATATAAATATTTTGTCTTTGTATATTCCCTTTCAATTATTCGAACATATTTACCTTTTTATGTTTCTCTTGCTTCCCACTTTTGCATTTCAAAGTTCTGATTTAGATTCAGTCTTTTCATCAGGATTGCTTAGAAGGCTTTTATTTCATTAAAGATCCATTCCCCATCTCTAGGATTATGCTCATTTTTTTCTGAGTAAGTAATTCTTGGTTGTAAGCCTATATCTTTTGATTTTTAATATATCATATTCCAAGCTCTCTTCTCCTTTATAAAAACTTGTTCCTGGTTGGAACTGCATTAGACTCCTCTTGGCCCTACCCTGAGTCAACTAGCTTTCTAAGTTCAGAGTGCCCAAACTTCAGGCTTGCCTTTGGTTTGAGCTTTTTGCCCTGGTTACTTAGCTGTGGGCCTAAGCCTGGGTCCAAGGGCTGAATCCACAACCTTGATCTGGGAGCAGAGTCATGAAGCAGCCAACTGAGTCATCTTCCTGCTTTTTGTAGTATACAGGCCCTATCACAGCTGGACCTCCACACTTTATCCCGATATTCATCCTTTCAGTTCCTTGTCTGATCCCTATAGTGGACAATTCTGTAGGACTTACTTGGCTAGACCTGCTCTTTAGTACCTAGAGGCCTCTGGCTATCACCCTATGATTGCCTGGGCTAGAAGAAAGACCCCTTATGGTTTTTCTTTGGAATTCCTGATCATTATTCAGGCTGTTTCTCTTCCTTGATCACTGTTGGTGTGGTTGTGGGAGAGAGCTGAGCTATTCTGCTTCCTCCTACTTTACCATCTTTGCCAGTCTCCCTCTCATCCTCTTACATTCTTCTGACCTCACCACTTACTTGAAACTACATTCTTCAATATTACTAGTGATTCATTAACTGCTAAATCCAAGGACTTTTTCTTCATCTTGACTTTCTAATCTTTCTCTAGCTTTTGACCCTATTGACCACTTCCCTTATTCCTTTACCACCCTGCCCCTTTGCCCCCATTCTCTCTTCCTTGGCATCAGTGACTTTGCTCTTCCTAATTCTTCTACCTGTAGGACCATTTCTTCATACTCTCCTTTGCTTGGTCATCCACCTCCCACATATTATTCATGAGTGTCCTCTAGGGCTCTTTCCAGGGACTTCTCTATATATAACCATTCTTTTGGTGGTCAAATCAGTTCTCATGGGTTTGTTTTTCAGTTTAACATAGATAACTCTAAAGTTTATTTATCCATACCTAATCACTCCCCCGAACTCCAGTCCTGCATCTCAGGTTCAACCTATCCAAATTGGAGCTCACTATCTTTCCCCTAAATTTGCCTCTCCTCTAAACTTCCCTATTTCCATTGAGGGAACCATCTTTCTTCCAGTTGCATAGGTTCTTTGTCTAACAGTCATCCTCAACTCTTCCCTTTCCTTCCTGCCTCATGGCCAGTGAATTTTCTGGCCTTGTTGATTCTACCTTTGCAATATTTGTTCCTTCTTCTCCCTTCACATGGCCACCAACCTAATATAGGCCATAGTACACGATACTGTATCATGATGTAATAAACAGAACACTGGATTTGGAATTTGAAGATGTTGTTTTTTGATCCTGGACCATCTACTTATTATCTGTATAAATGACTTGGGTAAGTTGCTTAAACTCATTCTTCATGATAAAATGAGTGTGAATTCAGTGACCTGTAAGGTCTCTTCCATCTTCAAGTGCACGATTCTGTGATTCCAGACTTGGATTCTTACAATGGCCTTCTAACTACTCTTATGATTTCATTCTTTTTCTTCTCAAGTTCATCCTCCATATGGCTGCTTAAGTAATTTTCCTAACCACATGTCTGACCATGTCACTTACCTGCTCAAAAATCTCTAGTGGCTTGCTGTTGCTTCAAATATAATATACAATGTCTCTTCCCCACCCCCATCTCCCCAAGTCTGGTTTTAAAAGTCATTCATAATCAGACTCCAACCTGTCTTTCCAGAATATTTCACATTACTTCTCTGAAGGCATTTTTTTTTTCAGGCCAAAATTAGTCTAGTAGATGAACTTTATATTCTGTATCTGGTGTTCAGGCTTTAGCATAAAGGGATATACTCCCTCCTTCCTTACCTCCACCTCTCTGAATGCTTTTCCTGAGAATTCATACCTACGCTAGTGGTTAGTTCTCCCTCTACCCTCAAATTACCTTTTAGTTATCTATGTGCATTTTGTAACCCTTCTCCCCCCTTCAGAATGGAATGTAAGCTCTTTGATGGAAAGAACTTTATCAGTTTTGTTTTTGTGTCTTTAGCTAAACTTATTTAGTTATATAAGAAGTAGAGAAGGCTATCTACAGGGAGACCCCCACTTCACTTCTCTCACTTTCTCCTTGCTTTGCAGCCTAACTTCCTATCTCATCATTCAACTGAAACAGCTCCTTCTAAAGTTACAGATGATTTCTTAACTGCCATATCCAATGGCTTTTTATCAATTCTTACTCTTCTTTACCTTCCTGTAGCCTTTGACACCGCTGATCATCCTTTTCTTAATTTCAGGTTTTCAGCTCCTTTGGATTCAACTATCTTCTTTATTCTAACAGTTCCCAGATCCTCTCTCTTGACCTCTTTGACCTCGTACCTCCAACTCCCTACTCTGCATATAAAACTGCATATCCACCAGAAATTGTAAATACAACGTGTCTAAAACTGAACTCACCATCTTTCCTTAAGTCTTCTCCTCTTCCTGAATTTCCTATTATTGTTGATTATACTATCCTCTGGGTCCTTCAGGCTTGCAAACTAGGTGTCATCTTTAACTCTGTACTCTAACTACCTCCTCCCCCTCCGCATCCAACCCATTGCCAAGTCTTGTCAATTCTACCTTTGTATCATCTCTTGTATGCTCTACTTTTTCTCCTCTGACAGCTGCCACTCTAGTGCAGGATATCATCACTTCATGTCTCTCTTCCTCAAGGCTCTCCCCACTCCAGGCTATCCTTCATTCAACTGATAAATTGATCTTAAAGTACAGGTCTGACCATGTCCCCCTCACCAATCAATAAATTCCAGTGGTTCCCTATTACCTTCAGGATCAAGTATAAAACCATTTGGCATTCAAAGCTCTTGAAAAGCTGGTCCTTTCATGTCTTTCCAGCGTTCTTATATCTTATTCCCTGCTATGTACTGTGACCAATTAATCAACTAATTAGCCTCCTTGAATTTCTTGTGCAAGAGACTCCATCTTCTGAATCTGTGCCTTTTCATTGACTTTTCTTCTTTCCTGTAATGCTTTCCTTCCCAATCTCCACCTCCTGGCCTCTTTGGCTTCCTTGAAGTCCCAGCTAAAATCCTATTTTTCACAAGAAGCCTTTCCCAATACCCCTTAATCCTAGTGCCTTCCATCTGTTGATTATCTCCAATTTATTCTTTTTGCATTTTGTTTGCACATAGTTGTTTGCATGTTCTGACAATCAAAGAAATAAATTATTTTTGGATCAAATACATGCAAGATATGACTACCTACTAAAAAGCTAAAAAATGATGTATTAATGTTTCAGGTGATTGTGAAGACAAGGACAGAATACCAGCCTGACCAGAAGAATAAAGGAAAACTCCGGGTGCCGAAAATTGCTGAGTTTACAGTCAGTTTTACTGATGGAGTAACAGAAAGATTAAAGGTAAGATGGCTATCTAGCCAGTCAGCTCTGGCTTCTCTATACAAAAATAGCGGACCTTGGCATAAGTAACACAAAATGATCAAGGTTACCTTCCACAATTGCCTTAAGTCCTCCATGTTAGATTCACTAATAAAGACAAAATAGTAAGAGAATTTGGTCCTGACACATCTTCTCCTATCATATTTCTCACACACTGAGTTCAATTCAATTTCCATATTTCCTTGCTCATTCATTCATTCATTCATTGAACAATGAGGCAGAGTGGGATAGTAGAAAGAGCCTTGGGCTCAAGTTTTGTTTCTGTCCTTATTAGCTGGATGACCTTTTAAGGTCACTTCCCTTCCCTTGTCCTTAGTTTCTTCATCTGTAAAATGAAGGCATGGGACTGAAACATCTTAAGGTCTCTTCTGCTTTAATATCCTATAATTTGGACCCCTGTGACTTCCCTAAGGTATCATCTTTTGAGTATGTTTATTTCTCTTCTCTCTTTTCACATAGCCAACCCCTTCCCCACCCCCACAGTGGTGAGAAGTCACACTGACAAAACCAAGTTTATTATTTTTACCACTGGTCCTCTTCCTTCAGAAAAAAGGTAGAAGCCTTCTGAACTGCTATTCAATCACATGAGAGATAAGACATTCAGCCCTTAATACAGCCCTAAATGTTATCAATCCATCAATAAACATTATTAAGCACCTACTATAGGCCAGGTACTGTTTTAAGTGGTAGGGATACAAAAAGAGACAAAAGACAGTACCTGCTCACAAGGAGCTTACAATTGAATGATGAAGACAACATGCAAATAAAAATATAGAAAGCAAGCTATATACAGATAAATACAAAATAGTTAAGGTTACCTATATACAAACATCAGAGGGTAGAAAGGCTGTGTGGGTGACTCTGGGCTCTGATCCCTTATAGATGGTGCTGAAGAAAGAGATATCAAAGTTTTCTTTAATACCTGTCATCTTTTTCTGTATGTATATGTGCATTGGTAAATTGGCACCAAACTCATCTATCATATTTGACCTGAATTTTGTTATGTTTTAATTTATGTTCATTGATATTGTTGCTGTCATGTGCTATTGTTCTTATGGCTTTTTTTTCCTTCTCTTCCTCTCTGTCACTGCATGTAAGTCTTACCATATTTTTCTGAATTCTTCATATTTATCAATCTTTATGGTACCATCTCCCAGCTTGATTATGATACTTGTAAAGACAGAATGTCCCAGTGGAAAGAGATTTTTGAAAACAATTAGCACCACGACCTCATTTTACACACCAGAAAACTGAGGCCGAGAGGGAGCTAGTAACTTGTGCAAGGTCATCCAGCTTTCCCTCCTCTTTCTAATAGTCATAACAAATAGATGGCTTTTACAAAGGGTTTTACAAAAGCACTTTATTTACATTATCTCATTAGATTCTCACATTCCTATAAGGTAGGTACTTCATAACCATTATTCTACAGATGAGGAAAGTGAGGCTCAGAAAAGCTAGTTGTCCATGGTCATATAACTACAGCAGAGCTAGGACTCAAATCTGGGTCTTCTGATTCCAAAATCATTGCTCTCTTTACTATCCTACATTGCAATTATACCCTTGGTGGTTATAGTTCCCAATTAACTTGTATAGAATGAAGAAGAGATTAGAGTTTAGGAGGAATGGATCTTCTCTATGTAGTGATTGATTCTTTTTTTCCAAAAGACACTCATGAGCTATGTCTATGTATATAAACACCTATGTTTTTCTACTTTAGGTTTTGGTAATTTTATCAGTGTAGGTATGAGAAGATTACAAGACCTAGCCATCAAGTGTTTCTATGGTTAAAGATATCATCATTCTGTAGCCACCCTAGTCATGAGTTTCTGTAAACCCTGCTCGGTGGGTCATTGGGCAACATTCTATCACTAGATGTGTATTGGAAGCTTTTCCAACTGGGTAGGACCTGCCATACTGTGTCTCTAGGGTCACCTTTGTGCCACATTGAGGCACAAGAGGAAGACTTTCATAGTTGGTCTTTGATATGTAATATGCAAACCCACATATAACTATAAGTTATTGACTTGCAAAATGAGTGATCATGGTGAAATAATTCATGTTCCTCTGTCCTCCGTGATTCCTAGCTTTATAATCACTTATTTTCAACATCAAGACTGATAGAAAGACAAACACAAATTTCTTGATTAGCAGACAGACCCAAACATTTTTTTAAAAATATAAAGTAAGAAGAAATTGGATCTTTTGGCTACTGTTGCTTAAGGAACGAAGGTCTATTTGGAGATGATGGGATTGGAATATCATAAATCTGGAGTGGAAAGGGACTCAGCCCAGCCCTTTCATTTTATAGATGAGGAAAATGAGGCCAAGGAGGTTAAGTCCCTTGATCACAGTCACATAAGTAATAAGTGTCAGAGCTGGGGTTAGAACTTAGGTCTTCAGATCCAAGGCCAGAGCTCATTCAGTTATACCCTATGTATCATCCGTTGCTAACATTTGCATAATTCACTGTTAGGTTGTGAAATCAGAGAAATGAGCTGTGGCTTTGTGTGGTGGAAGAAGGGAGGACAGGAATGATTTTTTTTGTGGGCAGCAAAAGTGGCAGCTGGGAAGCATGTGATCTTGATCTGGGTGTAAGTGTGGCTAATGGATGTAGAGAAAGCTAATGGTTGCCATAGAAAGCAACAGGATTAGTGATAGATTAGATAGATATAAAGGAGGAAAAGATGGCTTAGAAGTTTCTTTTTGAAGATTCCAGAATGATGGAAGATTATTTAGGGATGACAGATTCAATTCATTTCTGTCCAGTTCAAATAACATTTATTAAATGCCTACTATGTACAAGGTGCTAGGGATACATAGATAACAATTCCTGCCCTGAAAGAGTTTATAATCTAATGGCAAGGGGAGATACAGGGGTGGGTGTTGGGGTAAGGATACATGTACACAGATAAATATAATATGGTATAGTGGTAAGAGCACTGCATTTGGAGTCAGAAGACCTGTGTTTAAATCCTGCACCCTGCTACTTATTAACTCTGTGACTTTGGGAAAGCCCTTTAACTTAGTTTTTCTTATCTGTAAAGTGTGGGAATTGTGTCTAAATCTTTTCAATTAATTAAGTACCTAGTATGTTTAAGGTGCTTTACTAGGTGCTTTGAACATAGAAGAGAAAAAAAAAAACAGTCCTTGCCCTCAAGGAGCTTACATTCTATCTGGGGAAACAATACACTTATGTAAGCATATACATGATAAATTCAAGATTATTTTGGGGGGATGTGGGAAGGCACTAGTAGGTAGGGGAATCAGGAAAAGCTTCATGTAGAAGGTCCTATTTGAGCTGAGCTCCATGTAGAAGCGATGCTAAGAAGTGGAAGTGAGGAGACAGTGAATTCCAGGTAAGTGGCACAGCCATTGCAAAGGCTGAGAGAGGAGAGGTGAATGTCACGTATGAATAATGGCAAGGAGGCCAGTTTGACCAAACCATAGAGTGTAAGAGAGGTGTACTATATTTTAAAGTCAGAAAGGTAAACTGGGGCCAGATTGTAAAGAGTTTGAAATGCAAGAAAGAGTAATTTGTATTTCCAGCATTAAATGCTATGCTCCTGTGACAGAAGCAATGAAGAGACACAGAAAACGGCTGTGAGAAATAGGAGCAGGGAGATATTAGTTTCAACTGAGGGAAGACTTAGTAGAGGAGATAGTACCTGAGTGACGTCTTGAAGGAAGAGAAGGATTTAGACAGGTAGAGTTGAATAGGGAGAATATTCTAGGCATGGGGAATGTTCAGTACAAGTTCACAGAGTCTTTGCTGTGTTTGGTTTGTGCTTACAGGGAGACATAGATAGAGATCAGTGCTCAGTGGATTGAACCAAGGACAATTTGGTTATAAAAAAGTAAATATAGGTTAGAAGAAGAAATTGAGACAGAGTGCTGTGTGAAATTTGAGTGAGACAAGTTGCTTTCACCTGGGGATGCCAGGGAAGGTTTGACAGAAGAGATGACATTGTGTTTAGGCCTTAAAGGTAGAAAGAGAAGGATTTTAACAGACTGATAAGAGGAAGGCGGTCCATTTCAGGCCTGGGAGATGGAATAAGAAAAGGGATGGAGACAGAGCACAGTGAAAACAGGGGTCCCACAGAAGTAGAAGCTGGAGTATATGAAAGAGAATAGCATTAGGTAAATTTAATTTAGTCTGGAGATAGTTGAGACTTCTTTGATCAACTACATTGGGAGTTTATCATCTTTAAGGAGTGGCCCTTGTATGCCTGCACTCTCACTGATAATTAATGATTATTTGGACAGGTGCTAAAATTAATTAAATTAGCATGTCGTTTACTATCCTTTTTTGCCTCTGTGTAAGATCACAGTCCCTGCTCACACTATTGTTTGAGAGTAGGAAGGGACCTTAGAGGCCACCAAAACCAGTCTCAAATTTTTCCACAGAATATTTTGAAGTTTCAAGTATATTAACAAAACACATAAATGCTAACCCAGGTGTTGGTCATGGTTATGGGGTGGTGGAGAAGGAATGCTGTTTCTTGAGGAGAAAGGAAGTTCAGGAAATTTTATAGTGTAGTGAATGGCAAGCTGATCTTTTAGTCAGAAAGTCCTCCTATCCCTACCATATAATGAACCATCTGTATCACCAGGATCAAGTTACTTTACCTTTCAGTGCTCAAGGCAACTTTCTCAGATTATAGATTACAGAAGAATTACAGGTCTGCTTTGGTGGAAGGGATTTACATACTGGGAGGTCTTTACTCTGTTGATGTCATAGTGCTGAAATTTTAAAAAGCACACATTTGCTATTTTATGACTAGTATTACAATTTTCCCAAGTCTTCTGAGAGACAGAGTTTGGGGAACTTTAATTCAGTCAAATCCCTTCATCTTGAAGATGGGAAAACTAAGATCCAGAAAGAGGAGAACATTTTTAGAAACAAGGACAATGTGGTTCACTTTATTGTGTCCTTACTATAAGCACATCATAGAAAGGAATTC